GGTTCCCGTAGGTGGTCCTTCTAGTTTTCACAGCGCCAAAAAAAGGGGACGCTCAAAAAAGGCAGCAAATCCAACACGTCAACGCAGAGCGGAAGAGCGCTGAGCAGCTTCTGAGTGTGATCCGCCAGGATGTTCGGGTGGCCTTGTCTGGGCACTACAAGCTCACTGAGGCGCGTGCGTTGAACCTCCAAAAGTGGCTTCAATGGACACCACAACTAGGTCCAGTGCCCCCTTTGTTTTTTTGGGAGGGGGAACCCCCTACTAAAATAGACGGCAGAAAAAAGATCAGGCCCCCTTAATTCCAACCTCTCTACTGGACCTAGACAAGTAAAAGGTGGCAGTTTCAACTTCTGAAGTTACAGGTTCCAAGTTCTCGTGAAGAGACTTTGGGTGAAAGTCATCGTGGACGCAACATGAGCCACGTCCTCAAAACCGATTCGGGTAAGTGAAGAATAGGGGGACATTCTCCCTGCCATAAAAAGTTGCGGAACAGACACATCTACCAAAATGGCACCTTGGTAAATGGAACGAAAGACAAGCACCTGCGGGTTGCGTGGGTTGCCTTAGCTCTTGAGTTTGGAGCCGCATCCAAGATGCGGGAAGCATAGAACAAAAACCAGCAAATTTGGACAGGATTTGCTTGAAACACTACTGTCCATTTGGGGAAGCCGTCCACCTCCATTGTTGGAAAAGCTCCTTGCCATATCTAGATGTGAGAAGCACCTTCTCATTCTTTATCCTGGGTGTTAGTAGCCGTTGGTAAGGTCGTGACCCCAGATTCAAGTAGAAGCCCCTGGTGGAAATTTTTGATTGGAGTCCCGGTGTCCAAATCCTGGTGGAGTTCAGACTAGATGTACCAGCTCGCTTTTGGTTGAGAGAAGAATTCACCTCATGAAGATCTTGATATGCCCCCGGTTTTAGAGGGGAATCTCTTACTGCAACTACGTTTTGATGCTTTCTCCAGAAAAACCAAAACGCAAGCGGGTTGGAGTTCCATCCCATCGAACCTATGCTTGAGCGTCAGCAGGCTCGCCCAAGGACTTGAGTGAGGTTAAAAGGTGCCTGCAGAACATGGCAAGTGTAAGACCCTCTCACAGATCTTACCAACATACCATGAAGCTACTTGTTCAAATCTAAGCTTTCAAACTGCAAAACACGTCTTTGTTCTGCTATTATATATATTTATATATTTGTATGTATGGTAGTAATATGTATGTATATAATGTGATATAATATGGTATACATGTACACATTAAGACTTATTCCGTCCCACACATACACATATGATATGGTAGTAGAACAAATATATATATATATATATATGTATATTCATAATACAGTATACGTCTACCAATTCGGCATCCTATTTCTGGTTGGCTCTATGTGGTTGCGGCCCGGACCCCTCAGACCCCTCCCGGACCCCTCGAAACGGCCAGGTGCCCGCGGTGCGCCTGGCCGGGTTCTGCGAAGCGGGGCTGAACCAGGCACGCCGGTCGCTTTTTTTTCGGTCGCCGCGTGAGTTGGCGCTGCTTTGGACAAAAAGAAACGGGGGGAACACGTTAAGGGTTACAACTAAGAAAGGGGAACACGGAGGAGGTGGCCCAAAAGGTTGCAACGCCATATTTTTTAAAACATTTTTTTCGTTGGGGGGGGGGGGGCGGGTGCTGCCCCAGTTAAATAGAAGAGACACTCATATTGCCAACCTTGCTGCCGGTTTAAACGTCACCATATTGGCCGCTTTTCGATGAGTTTCCGTTTGGGGTGATGTTGAAAGCAGAAGCAGGTTGGATGGTATTCACATTGCCGGACGTCGGCGTATCATGGCGACCTCACTGATGTTTTGCAGGTGATCTGGGACCGGAAGGTGCTCCTGGCGACCCTTCTTTGTGCCGACATGTGCTGACCTTTTTACTGGAAGAGAAAAAGCAAACTTCACGAGCGCCCTGTTTTACTTTGTATAGATGTGAGGCTTTAGCTGTGCTGAAAGAGGGGCGTGCCATGGCTAACCCTAAAAAATAAAGTTGGGCTGGTAGTGGTTTTAGTCGTACTGGCAGACTGTGCTTTTTTTGAGGAATCCAATGGAGAACATGTTGTGAAGATACGGTCTGAGTTTGGGCGTGTCTTCTTTTTTAAGGGAACCCCATTTTTTGGTTTTAAAGGACGGCCAACAAGAAAACCAGCTTTGCTTTTTTTTGGGGGGCTCCCCCAAAAAAGAGAGACTCGTTTGGATCTATCGAACTTTCGTCCCATCATGTTGTTTGCGCGAGAGCAACAGCGAGGGTTGGGTTTGAGCAATTTTTCCAGTTTGGGATTGCCCTCACTTTGGCGGGTTCGAGAGTGCTGGGGATACGCCCAACTGGTTCATAGCTGGCCTCTTTGAGGTTAGTTTGGTTGGATATAGATGGGTTCCACCAGCTTAGATTGGCTTTATTCCAAAAAGGACATTCGTGCTTGGGATTGTCAGGGGTCCCTACATTTCCCTTTTAGGTGGTTTTAAACATCACCGTTTTGGCCCATGAAAGGTGAGTGGGGGTGATGTCTTAAGGGGAAGTATAGGGAGCCGTGTTTGTGTTTCACAGGGGCACCGTTGGCTTAGAGGACTGGCGTTGTCACCTTGTTCAGTAGGCGAAAGGGAAGGAACCCCCCCCTCCCCCCCAATTGCTGACTTTGATGGCCCCTAGACCCTGGACCGCAGTAGTCAGTAGGATTGCACTCTTGAAATGTCAATCAGGAAAAGGCGGGGATTCCCCGCCTGTTGGTGACACTACTAGATTCTTGCAACCCAACCAACAGCTCACCCCATCGTCCCTCTGAATGCCTCTAGAATCGGGCACATGTTCTGCAGCAGTTTCTGTGAACACCAGGCTTGGGATTTTTTGCGAGCTTCGGCGCCAGAATCGCACCGGCCGCGAGGCGTTTGCCCTGGCGACAGGGCTCACCGTCAGCGGGCTGCCCACTTGGTGGTCCGAGGAGCGAAGCTGCCGAAGCGGTCGCTTTCGCCCCGAGGGGCCCCCAAAAATGGGCTCGCGGACCAGGCGATGGCCTGAAGCTGCTTTTCGGACCACAGCTATGTCCTGTTTGGTGAGTTTGGTTGAAAATGGCGGGCCCCTGGTAAACCTGGTTGACACATCTACCGAGCCAGGACATCTGGCAAACCTTCAGCTCATTTGTTTCCCCAAAAGGACACCTGTGGTTCCAGGGGGCAAAGCCATGATTTTCAGGTTTGTCCAGCAGACCCTTAGGGACACGAAAAGAGAATGGCTGTTTCTATTCAATTGGTGTGCCGGCACATGTTGTTTTAGTGAAGCACCACAACACACCAAGATTCACATGATCACTACCATTCTGTGTGTTTTCTCTTGTTGCTTTTGTTGTGTTTTCCTTTATAAACGTTTCACAAACTCTGTCCAGTCCGCTCTGGTTGACCAATGGCCACGCCAGAGCCAGAATCGTCTGGCTACAACCATAAAAGGGGACTCCTTCCCTCATGGAAAACTTCTTGGTTGCTGTTGACCCCCTCTGCAAAAAGTTTGAGCTTTTGTGGGTCCACTGGATGATCCACTGTTTCCCAACACGTCAAAGTCCAAAGATCCAACCAAAAAGCCATGAAGACTTGCACCAGGGGTCTTAACCAAATGGAAGAAACTCTTCCACTTGTTCAAGAATGTGTCTGTGTTTTTGTGGCAGGTAAGTCGTATTTGGTTTTTCTTCAGCCCATCAGCGGCACTCAACTTTAGTAGCCCATATGGAAGTGTTTTCGCCAACTTCAATGTGCTGAAAATAATATGCTGTATTTCCCTAAATATCACTGGACTTTTCATTGTTCAGGGGACTTCAGCAAGTGGAACTTGGTTTTTAGAGGAATCTGTCACTGGAAGTACTTTCATTCTTCTCGCGGGACTTAAGCAAATGGAATGATTTTGGACGGCCACTATTGCAATGGCGAGATGATGGGATGTGAAGAACAAATGAGCCAACAAGGACACCCAAGGAGAGTCCAAATTTTCCCGAACCCCGTGCGTCTGTGCAGAGGCGTGCGGTGAATGGAACCTCAACTCCCAGTCCGTTCTCAAAGAACTCATCCCCATCAATGTGCTCCGCGTGCGCTCCGAAGGTAGTGCCCTCAAAGGTGGCATGGAAACCGAAGCGCCAACTCAGTCGCAGGGCGCTTGATGCTCCTCGCTTGATAGGAATGAGGATCGTGAGCTTCATAGTCTGCCTCGGTTGCTTCCTCCGAGCCATTCCGGCCTTATAAACTGCTTGGAAAAGATTCCATTTGGAATCATTGCGTGTTTTCAGTGTGTGCTTATACACATACATGCCAATGTTTGGGCGATTACAGCATTGTAAGTTAGAAACTGGCCCTCGGACTTGAACAGTGTACCAGGTTCGTTCCCTTTTTGCAACCCCCAACACAATTTTGACGAACACAACCTAAGATCATCTTGCGCGCGGGTTTCGTGGCATGGATTCTCTGAGTCCTTCCCTTTCAGCCAAGTACAATCCACACCCCAAGCTCCTTGGAACGAGTCCGGCGCGAGGACGGCCAATACTTCATGTACTACGCTGAGCAATACCAGCACTGGAAGGCCGGGCGGTCCGAGTCGATCCGTTTTTTTTTTTTTTTTTTTTTTTTTTTTTCCGATCCCAAACGTGGGCGTTTTGGAGGAGGGGCCCCTCCTTTTCAGGAGGGGGGGGCTATGTTTCTCCCGGCCGGCTGAAACCTCGGGACAGATGAACGAAATCCGTCTGATGAACAAGATCCGTCCGCAGCACTTTCTGATATATTTCCCCTGCAAATACCAACAACCAATGGGAGGTTTCAAAGTGGCGCGGGGATTTCGTCCATCCACCGTAGGGTGGCGCTCTTGGCGGCTTCGGACCTTGCACCCTCCGCGAAACCCTGCGTTTTTGTTTTCTGCTTGCGCCATCTTCCGAAGTTTTTTCCCGGTAGGTTCCATGGGGAAACCGACAAGTCTCATGTTTCGCTCAACCCAAACACGTGGAGCCTGACGCAGGGCATTTTCTGACGCAGTTGGTATGTTTGCCTGTTTTGTCACCCTGGCTTTGAGGTGAACGGACTGCGGGCCGTTGGGGGAGATGGCTTCTTGGCAGCAGGGCCGTTGGGGATGCCACTTCGTCAAAGTTGCGGCTGGGTGCCTTAGAACTATCCCTTCAGCTCAACCTATGCCCATCTGAAGGGTTCCAGTTCCTTTTGGTGTGTGGCTTTTGAAGGAACGTGGGTTGGTTTCAAGGGAAAGCACAAAACAATTGGGAAAGCAACAAAAAAAGGCCCTCCGTTTTCAAGGCTCCCTTAAAGATATCCCCCTTGGGGGCTGGGGGGGGGGGGAATGCCTTTGGTCGGTTTTCACAGGTAATTGGAAGGCTGGGCCAGGGAGCTCCTGGCAGGCTGATGTTGATGGGTGTCATGGGGTTTGGGGGCCATACTCTTTTCCTTTGTCCGCAAGGGTCAGCGATTGCTACTTGCCTTAAATGTGCTCCCCCCCTCTTCCTTGGGTGTCTTTTCAAAGGACATCTGGAGTGTCATGGGCCTAGGTGTCCTTTTCAGATGTCCTTTTTTTGGTTGGCTAGACCACCGGCTTAGATAGATTTTTCATTTGTCAGGGTCATCCTTGTTTTTTTTGGCAAGGGCCACGGGGAGGCTTGGCAGCGGTGGGGCCTGGCAAGAAGCGCGCCGGCTGCGGCTTCGCGCACTCGGGTCAGGCTCTGCGGGTGCTCGGCGAGTGCGTTTTTTTCTTCCTTGTCTCCGGCCGGTTTGCATCGGCCGTGGATGCCAGGAATCTGAGAGTCAGACTTTTCGCGGTACGTCCCAAGTTGTGTAAAGTTCCAGGTTGAGCTTGATCCATTTCGGGGGGGGAGGATTTAGATGGCTCGGGGTTGGTGCTGCAAGGCCCCAAGAGGGAACCAGAAGGAGGTCGTAGCAATCTTGGCCCACTGGGAGAAGATCCCACGTTGAGGATTTAGGGAGAGAATGACAAGCCGTAAGGATAGAACGTACGAGCTTGCCTCATAGACAATTCGTGACATGCGACATTCGACGCGCTGGTCACACATGTAAACAGAGGTTTTCCAGCTCCAGTTTCCGGTTTTGATGATGTTTATACACAATCTGTTGGTTGCAATTGAACTTGTGTTTCCTTCTGGTGAGAAATGTTTAAAGAGGAGCTACACAGAGCCAACCCATCCTAAAGATTGATTCCTCATTCTTTCCCCCAAAACAACCCATTATTCTATGAGGTGTCCGTAGTTAATTTTTCAGAAAAGCAAGATCCCTGGATTCGAAATCGTCGGGAACTGGTAGAATCATACCCTGGAGTCACCACCCCATCTTCTGCTGTGGCTTCGTTTTGATGAGATTTTGAGGGTGCCGCCTTGATTCTTGCTCCCCTTTGTTCCTGACCAGCCCCTGCTTTCCTAGACGCGGGCTGGGTTTTTCTAACACACGAAAAGGTGTTTGCAACCCAAAGGAAAGGACGCAAACCTGTGAGGCCCCCTGTAAAGCTTCAATGGGTTCTTTGGCAGGGGGGGGGGGCTGCAAATTGGTAGGGCACCGCCTGGAAAGAAGAAACATATCATAGGACCAAGAGACAGGACCTACGGGGCCTGTCTGATTGATGATGCCAGCTTTGCCACCAGGGCACTGCCACTGACACCTGAGGAGGCGCAACGCAGCTTGCCAATCATGGCTGATGCCATGTATGGGTCGCTGGGGCTGAGGCTCGATGCCGTGGAAACCCTCAGGACATCGTCCATCGTGCTGTATCTCAACCGCGTATATGCAGGCGGCATCGAGATCCCGCGGAATACGCGGTTGAGCTCACGCATTGACTCCGACCGGGAGTCTAGATACCTCACTGAAGTCGACAGAGGGCGGCAGCTCAAGCTGGTGCCATAGGGGTATGTTGTTTTTTTGGGGTCCTCTTTCGTGGTGGTTTCAAAGGAAAGCCAAAAGGATACCCCCCTGTACCTAAAAAGAACCACACCCATAGGTGTCCGTCTAAGTCAATCTGGGCGCTAAGGCCAAAAACGACACCCAGCCATAGGGGATTTGAACCGCAAAGCCACTCCTTAGAAAAAGGGAGCCCTGTGGATGGTCTGGATTTTCGAGGCTTGCTGGGCGACCTTCTACTTGGCTGTTCGATTCGCTTGCCTATTTACGACCAGGCTACCTGCACTTGGGGACTTCTGAGCAGGAGACAACTCGCTGGTGCTGAGTAGGGAATGAGAAATGGAATGACCCTTATAAACTATCCCATGTGGTTTCCTTTAAGGGAATCCCTTGGTTCATTCCATTTCTCGTTTTCTTCTTGTCGCACCAGCGAAAGAAAACAAAGGTTACCAACCACTCATTTCCTTGGCCGACCCCAGTGCGCACGCAGGCCGATGGCCGCAGCCCGGCCGGGCTGCTGCAGGCCGCCGGCTGGTTCGAGGCGGGCTTGGTCTTCCAACCCCACTCGGGGTTCAGCCTGAAAGTCAAGAGCTATGAATATTTTCAAGGCTGATTGTCCAACACCATGTATGTGGTGTCAGGGCCCCTGTGCCAAATTCAAAGCTTGTGGGCTTCATGCAAGTGGACTGGCCCTCTTGCATTGACTTTCGCAGTGACTTCCGCTCCTTTTTTGCTTGTTATCCACCCTTGGTTTTCGGCCGGACCCCTTTCGGCCAAACAGTTTCGGTCGGATGCCTCAGGTGGACGATGGGGAGTGGCTGTCTGTGACGCCCTCCACATTGCGCGGGCCTTAGACGAGTCCGAGCGAACTTCCCTGACTTGGCGGTAAAGTCAGGAACTTCCTGGGCGGAGTTTTGCGAGGGGGGGCTTCAAGGATGGGTTCCCCTTTTTTGTCTGACAGGAAAAACAGAGGGCTTTGGCCATGTGATTTGTCTCAAAATAGGATCCCCCCCAAAATGGCAAAGGTTTCTTTTTGACTTCCCTGGCACTGCGGCGCATCAGCGAGCGTTCCCTTGCACAGGGTCCATAAAAGGATACATTTGGGCCGGCTACAAACCACCATTAGCTGATTTGGAGGAACTCTTTGAACGTATGCTGTTATTGAATGTGTCCTTTAAGGAACGCGTAGCCCGGTCATGGGGGCTGGATGGCCAACCCGTCCATGTCGAACAGGCTCCAGGTGGCTTGGTCTGGACCATTTGAAGCGATCGAATCAAATGGATTACTCTTGCGACCCATTCACCCATGATTTCCTTGAGGCCCAAGAAGAAGGTTTGAACTGTAGAGTGTGTGTGTGTATATATGTGTATGCGTATGTGTGTTGTGTGTTGTAAAGCGCGGAATTCCAGACTCGCAGTTTGCTCGTGGTATGTGTCAAACTGGGGAGTGCTTGTGGTTCGCCTTGCCAACCTGAACAGGGTACTGATGGGTCAGCACAGAATCCGCCCGGCGTGGGATCCCAGCCGCCGTCAGTCCCTCTTGAAAGGCTCCCGTTTTTTGGAGCCGCAGGAATCTGACACCCAGGGGTTGGTGGCAAAATCTGTTCAACCAGCTGGTTTTCTTGAAAGGGGAACCAAAAGAAGTGTTTGCAGAGTTGTTTTAACATGTTGAGGCAAGGGGGTATTGACCACCCCCCTGAGCCTACCCACACCACTACTCAAGCATCCCCAAACCACCCACCGTAAAGCAGCCAAACCAACCAAGCCAAAGCTGAAACCAACGTCCAATAGAAACCAACCAAGCCAAAGCTGACACCAGCGTCCAATACATGCCGAGGGTGCTGAAGACAATGCTGCAAAACAGCGCATGTGGTTAGACAACGCCGCAAATCACAGCATAGCACTGGGACTGGACACCCAAATTCCTGCAGAGCTGAATTTCTTGACCCGCTTGGAGAAAAGGGCCGAGGGAAGCGAACCTAAGGATCGGAGTCCTTGCAGAACCAAGGAACGGGACACCAGACCAGTGACCCTGTCAACATGTTGAAATTACACACACACACATGCACACATGCACATATTTCTGTTTGGATGTACATCTTCAAGCAGATGTACATAATATACATGTACAAATTACACATGCAGACACACATGCATATATGTTCACAGACACAAGACACATACATAAATAAGCACATGAATTCATACACATACAATCAGGCGAACCGGCCCAAAAGATCTCCTACTGCCTGCCACATGTCGTCCGCTTGCCGTTGGTTTTGGACCAGTGTTTGCCTTGAGTGTGCTGCATGCGGAAGCTCAAGGAAGACTTTCGCAAGGTCATCCTCGGCGCGAGGTTTGGCCAGGAAGCGCGCGGGGTACTGAGAGATACTGTGGAGGGACGAAATCCATTTCGCGCCACTCGGGAACGCCACTCGGAAACCATGGGAAACCATTGCCTGTGGGTATTTGTAGGAGAATCATCGTTCCAGGGTTTCTTAGGTGGCGCGAAATGGATTTCGTCCATCCACAGTTTGATAAGCGGCCGAAGCAGGGAGAAGTCGCAGGGGAGAGTTTGCTTCCTCGCAGGCCATCCATCCCCCTTTGGCTTCCCTTTGAAACCATCCCTCAAAGCCAACCGGGATCCTTGGAAGATGGGGTTTTCAGCGCCCGCGGTGTTTTTTTTCAGACCTGGCTTGACAAGGAGGGGCCTCGATCCTTCGATTGATTGATTCCTCGAGCCCTTGGCTCCTCGATTCTTCGATTCCTTGATTCTTCGATTCCTCGACTCCTCGATTCCTCGATTCCTCGATTTCTCGACTCTTTGATTCTTCGGTTCTTGGAGTCTTCGGCTTTTCGGTTCTTCGATTCTTCGGCTCGATTCCTCCGTTCCTCGAGTCCTCGATCCTTGTTTCTTCGGCTCCTCGATTCTCTTCGATTCTTCGTTTCTTCGATTCCTCGGTTCCTTGCTTCCTCGGTTCCCCTGTTCCTCCATTCCTCGATTCTTCGGTTCTTTCTTCGATTTCTCGATTCCTCGATTCTTCGGTTCCTTGATCCTTCGGTTGCTTGATTCCTCGGTTCCTTGGTTCCTCGACTCGATTCTTTGATTCTTGGATTCCTCGGTTTCTTCCTTCCTCGATTCCTCCGTTCCTGGTTTCTTCGACTCCTCGGTTCTTCATCGATCAGTAGCTAGATTCTTTGACTGTTTCCGCCGGGACCCTTGTCAAGCCTACCCTCGTTTTGGAGGGAAACATTGCATGACTTACGAAGCCCGCAAGTCTGCGTTGGCCTCGTATTTTAGCACATCCACCGTGCCGCCCGACCGCTGGGGTTCCGCCTTGGATGGCTTCTGGCTTCAGTGCTTGGGAGGCTTGTTTCTTCGGGGCCGGGAGTGCGGAGAGAGAAAGTTCGCGCTCACCGCGCGCGGCACGCTCGCGTTGCTTCTGCTCAAGGCCCGTTCCCCTGTTGACCTGCGCGCCTGAAATTGTTCAAGCTTTTGCTTCTACACCGTGCCCGGGTTTACTTCAGCTTCATAAGCAACGGTGGCTGGCGCCGCGAAATCTCGCCTGCGGAATCTGAGCAGCTCCTAGCAAAACAATCTGGAAACAAACCCATCCTACGGGTACAAATCTACGCCCTGTTTAGGCTTATCTAGCTTGGTTTGGGCCTTTGTTTGGCTCTGTGCGGCCTTATTTCCCGACGAAGTTCGTCGCTCAGCTCTTCACGGGCCTGGTCCTTCCGCTTCCAAGCCGAGAAGGGTAGCACCGAGGAGTGGGTCTGATGGGGACGCCGGTGCAGTAGAAAGGGGTTGCCTGCTTGTGGCAAAGCAAGGGTGCCGGAAATCGGAAACGTGCATGCTCTTCCCAAAGCATACCTTCATTTCCTCTTCGAGGTATGGGGCCCAAAGTATCTAGGGTGTCAAAATAAGGGGACGGGCCCCAGAATGGATGGTTTCCCTTTGAACCAACCACTTGTGCTTGAACTCACGCCTCACGGTTTTCATGGCACTCTTGCGAAGCAGGCGGTTCTTCGATGTCGTCGTTAAGGAACCCTGTTCACAGTTCCTTTAGCAAAGACCATGTGAGTGGGAACCAAATCAGAACATAGTTGCTGGGAAGATTTTGCTTTGTCGTCTTGGTAACTGTGTGACCAGCTTGTGTTTGGCTCTGTTTACGAGTGGGCGCATGTTCAGCACGGATGCTGGGGGGGGGGAGGTGTTTGCACTTGTTCGGGAGGATTGCAACAAATATCGGGAAAACCAGCAAAACCACAATCGTGGTAAACAGGGGACCTCAGGACATTGGGCCTGCTGCTGTTGTGTTCTTTGTTGGGTTTTCGCCAGGTTTTTGCACTTGCGGGGCCAAGAACATCGGGAAAGCCCGCAAACCACAATTGCAGATCCCATGGCCCCTTCCTCATCGAAGTGGTTTGTTGTTTCGGTCTTATCGAGGTTCTTTTGGTGTTTAGTTCTTTTCTTGCTTGTTCAGGTTTTCTCGTTTAAGGGGGAAGGCAAATTGGAAGAAACAACCAGATTGTATGTCCTTATTAGGTTCTATTTGCTTTCTATTTCAATTTCTAGTTCGCGCCCTATAATCCGTTTTGTCAAATTAATTCAGACATTTGACTTTTGATATTTCCTGCTAAACATCTACTAAAATTCAAGCACTCTATCTTCGTTGCCTAGAAACAACCAGCTTGTTTTTCCTGATTTCGTCTAGATTAGCATTAGAATCTAATTCAAACCCTAGATTCTCCTAGATACTTGGAAAGGACACCCTATGTACAATTTGATTGAGAAGAAGAATTCTAGTTGAACTGCGTAGAGGAAATCCTCTTGTCTTCCTTACTAGGTTCTAGTTAAATTGTAATGGGGATCTAACTAAGTCCTGACAAAATTCAACCAATGTCCTGTTTGGAGAGGAATTGGATTTGCTTGTCAGTATATTCTAATTGAACTCATATTTGGCAAGAATCTCTTATTTTCACCTACATTGAAATTAGCTTTCTATTTGACTTCTACTTGAGATCCTACCTGGAAGGAAGTACTAATTCTCATCGAAGACAAAAAGCTAAGTTGAATTGACTCATAAGCAAAGCCTCGCAACTTAAAGCTTGCAAACCAATTGGAACGGAATCTGTCATGGGCTTTTGCCTTAGGCTCACTCCTCTTAACAGGCTTGCAAAGTGTTTGAATCCAAATTAAATCCTACTTGGACGGGGCATCCTACTTTAAGTCTAGTTCAAATGAATATTTTCAACTTAGATCTAGTTAGAATCTGATTTAAACATAAAATCTGACGCTTGCAAGCCAATACAAATTGAAGTTGCAGTGTGTCTCTCCTTTTAAGGGCTACGCAAATCAGACGAAACGACCAGCTCGGCTTTCCCTACAGGATTCTACTGAAGTTGCAGCCGGTTTAGCCGGTTTGCTTTCTCCAGGCGTTTGGATGAGAAGAAGGAGGGGTCTCGTCGTCAATTCCTTCTTCTGTTCAACCATCGTTCTTTGCGCACAAACCAACCGATTCCCCAGGTTTGTGTGCTGAAAAGAAGGACCCCTTGAGAAGAACGGGCGTATCTTTTTTGAGGATACCCTTTTCAGGTTGGTCAAAGGGACACCAAAGGGACCAAAAGTCAGTTTTCGGGGTCAACCTATTTTGACACATACAATGGCTATTTTTCCACTGGAAAAGAAGTTTTTAAGCCATCAGAGGCACATCCCCGAAACCAGGGGTCGCTGGAATTCCCCTTCAAAGGTTGCAATTGACGGGTTGCATCGAAAAAACAACTTTCGGAGGGAACCCCTTTCCCTTGAAAGGGCCCGGAACGCCGGCCCGGAACGCCTGGTCCAACCTCAAAAAACTAATTCCAGGAACTCTTTGGGAGTGAGAATGCAGTTATGTTGCCACACCAACAGGAGAGCGCGGCGCTCGGAGATGTGTTGGGGGCCCGAACAGCTAGCTGGGGGGGGGGTGTGCTGCTGCTGGCAGGGGTGAAGGTGTTCGTTTAAAACAGCGGTTGAAATTATAATTGAAAGGGGAGCCAAAAGGAGGCTGCTGGACAGAATTTTGGTCGTTTGAACACCGAAGAGGAACCAATCAGAGAGTTAAACATCAGAGCAGTTTTGAAGGGGGAAGAAGGGGCGGGGGTGGAGGGTGGGGCTAATTAGACTGCATGGGCGTGAACGGGTTTTTAGAGACCTTCCTGTAGCTGGTTTCCAAAAAATGATCCCTAGAGATGTCTTCTCTCATATGAATGGCACCAATCCTAGACTCACAACTAGCCAAATCCAGGAGGCCCAGGGGTTGGAGCCAGCCTTTCAGGGGCGCGTTTCGGCCGGGGATGAACGTCAGTCCCATTCAGCGGTTCCTACCGGGTCAAAAGTAGCGGCAGCAATGTCGCGTCCTCAAAGTGCCGCTGGCCAGGGTCTTGTTGTAGGCAGTAATGGCAATGCCCACTTTGGGAGTCAGACGGGCAGAAGTGTAAAGCGTCACAGGGTTTCCCAGTAGTGCCCTTTTACCCATTTTTTGGGGAGAGTTCCCCTACTAAAATGGAGTACAGCAAAAAGGGTACCCTTATTCTAGCCTCTCTACTGGAGAACCTAGACAAAGTCAATAGCTCAAGTCGCCACAGGCACTTTGGTGAACAGCTTGACCTCTAGGATGTGTCGCCTATCTTGGAACCTGGGACTTGCTCCAATGAGAATGTGCTGGGGACCAGCATGCTAGGTCCCATCGCCCCCCCCAGTGCATTAGGACCTTCACCTCGCCGACTCCATTGCCTCGTAGGAAAACCGAAGCAAGTCTTGGGAGGCTCCCCGATTTACATTGGGGGATAAGAAACCAACAGCAGCATTGTAAATAAATGAATAAATAAATAAATATATATATATACACATATATTTAAACAAACACATAATAATAACAATAATAATAATGATTAATAGTAATAATAATGAAAAAAAACAAACGCACACACAGACAACAGGGAAGGCGAAACATCCCTCATCCAACCAAAGGCACCGAAGTTCCAATCGTTTCACGCGACCGTTTGCTCGAGGCTTGAGGTGGCCCAGCGAACATTTTTTTTTGTTTTACACATATGAGGCGTGGCGGAAAAGTAAAGAGCCAGGGCAAGCCGCAGGTTTTAAGTCTTTGGTTCCATGTAAGGTGCCAGGTTGGTACATGTATTTGAGCCACAGCCATAGTTCTTTGGGTGGTTTCAGTGGCCAGTCTGGAGTGAGTTTCTTTTTGTGGACATGTGGGGAGCCCATCAAATGAGCTCTTTACATGGTTCTGGGTCGACCATTTTAGTACCGGGTTTTGACCCCCCCCCCCCCCCGGCTCCCCAGCTGCCCCGCTCCGTGAAGGCGCGCGGCCTCCAGCGGCAGCGGCTCGGCGGCCTTTTGCGGCCTGCGGCACAGCAAGGCACCCGCGTTGCGCGTCGCGCGCGAGCGCAACGAGCGCGGACAAAGCCAAAACCCCTCGAGGAAACCGGTGGATGCCCCAAAAAGTTGCAAGGGAACACTGGGGTCAGTAGTTTGACGGTTTGTGAGGGTTATCAACGTCAGAAAAAAAGGGGGCCTTCTGTTTCCCTTTATCCCACTTGGGTGACTTTGACCAGGGTAAAATACTGAGGCCAACACCGCACTGGAAATTCTAACCTGGGGGCCTCCCGGAGCTTCTAACCTGCCGCGAGTCTGGCTGCTCAGTCGAAGAAATCGGAAGACCATGAGCTCGAGTGTGCCTTTGGGCCAGAGCATGATGCTATTCCGCAGGTGCGCCAAGGTTTGGAGGCGGAGCAAAGCTACAAAAATAGCGGATCTGCGCGAGGAAATCCTCACCACATCCGTTGAGAAAACTCAAGTATTCCCAGAGCTCCAGTGAGTGGCAAATCCAGTTGTCATTTTTTTGGAAGTGGAGCCCTGATGGAGTCATCTGCAAAACACAGAGTTGCCCCCTTAAACAGTCTGAACCCAGAATTGCGTAAGCGAAGAGTGCTCATTTTGGGAAGCGCGTGTGTTTGCCTTGCAATGTTCTCACAAATCCTGCTCAGCTGGCAAACTTTAAACATTGTGTTGACATGTTTCTGTATCAACTTGACAAAGACCCAACAAGTTCAGACCGGCCAGTGAAAACAGCAGGCACCCCCCAATGAATCCGACAGGTTGATTTATCCGGGGGTATCCTTACAGGACGCTTGACAAAACTTAGCACCCCTTTTGTGCCAAAGTTCAAGGCGAGCGAAGAAACGGCATTTTGGAAGGTGGATGCCGGGTTTGCTGCGATAGGGTCTGTGGCAATATTTCCTTTGTGTTGATGTAAAACATGTCCCTTGTCCTGTGGTTTTGAATGAATTTCTGTTGGCTGGGGTGATGTTCAAAGGAGGCATGTAAGGGACCCTCACGTCTGGCGAAGGTGGCTCGATGCAAACTTGACTGCCGTTTCCTCACAACTCTCTTGGCTGCCATGTCGCTTTGTAGCAGGGTTGCAGCAATGGGTCGCTAACGTCCTCTTTAAATTTCAACATAGTCATTTGGACGGCCTTCCACTGCCTTTAATGTTTGCCGTCTGTCTCTCCCGCAAACCATGGCCATGGCAAGCCTTATGCTTTGTGTTGTAAGGCTATTCAGGCTTACAGGGCTTGCTAAGGCTTGGGCACTGAGTTAGCAGATCCAATGCTGCTGGCTAAGTCCCAGTTGTCCTCATTCTGCGGATTCTTTCAACCAAAGGAAGCGCGTGAAGGACTTTTCTGCTTGCAGTTTCTGGCAATGGTCATGGATCCTGTGCGGACGTCAGGAGGCATTCCTTCGAGTTTCCTTTTGCACAACCCAGATGGCGCTCAGCGCCCGGGGGAGCTCAGTGGATGCGTAGACAGCTTGCTGGTTTTAGATGGCCGGTGTAAGGGTTTCTACAGGGAGCCATTACTTGAAGGGGCGCTCGGGGACTTCGTAAGCGTTTAGTAAGCCTGGTAAGATAGCCCACACGGAGACTTGCAACCATCATAAGTGGGTTATATATATATATATATATTTATCCAGGCTTACGAACCACTTACCTGAAGCCCGCCCCTTTTTTTTGTTTGCCCCAAAGGAGTTTGGCAGCACGAGGTGTATGGCTCGCCGCTCGCTGGTTTCTTCAGGCGCTCTTGCTCTTTCTCCCGCCGAAGCCTGGATCCGAGGCCGGGGCCGAAAAAGGAAGAGCTGGAAAGACAGGTGCGTGTGAGAGAGAGTGTGTGTGTGTTTTTTGAGGGTACCTTGTTTTGGGTGGTTTTAAAGGGGCGCCAGAAGGAAAATCATTTGCTTTGGGGTCTCCAGTAATTTTGGGCCCTTAGAAATTTGTTGCCATAGCCTCAGTTGCAAAAAAAAAGCTTTTGGACCTTTTGGTTTTACAATGGTTGGTCAGAGGCTGCCAGGAGGGCGGCTCCCACTGGAGCACTTGGTTTTCCAATTCTGCAACCTGGGTGTGTCTCTTCTTGGGAGGGAGCCTCCAAAACGGTGCATTTCACCCTCAGCTCCGAGGCTGCGCAGGACTGCCTGATCGTCCGGGCCCCGGCCCAGCAAAACTGCGCATCTCTGGGCTCAGCATGCCACAGCGAACAGCGGCAACCCCCCACATAGTTTTTTTTTTTGGGGTTGCTTTCGAAAAATAGATGGCGATTCCTGGTTTACCTGGTGGTGCAAGATCATCTAGCAGGGAAACCCATCTATTTCCCCCAAAAGAACACCTATGCCCCTAGACACTTAGGCTTGGGGCCAGGATTTTTTTTCCCCAAAAAACACCTATGCTGGTGGGTTTCCTTCTCGGCACGGCCTTCGAAGCGCCCGCCTCCTTTGGCGCCCCGCTCCCTCCTCCCCCCCCTTTTTTCTCGGGGGGTTTACAGGAAAACCCACAAGGCAAGCGGGGATCCCGAACCAAAGACACAGCCATGTGATGTGAACCTCGGATTCCAGAGCGCTCAAGCCTCATCAGAGGCAACCCCTCCCTCGCCACTTGTCGTTTTAGCACCCCCTTATAACAAGATTAACCCCACATTCAAGGGGATCACCCAGCATCAAAAAGCAAAAGGGAAGACCAAAACATGAGCCCGCCCGTTTGGGTGCCTCCAATGTGTATATATATATATATATGCATACATACATATGCTCGCCCCCCGCATGGACCTGGTTTTGCTGCCATTTGGGAAAGCAAATCTAGAATCTCAAAGTTTGTATTATTGAAATTTCCAATTGTGGGTCCCCAAAGCCTGATAATTTGGAGCCCGGAGTCCTCCATAATGTTCCAAGATGATACCCTTTCCAAATAGGATTTTACTTCAACTAAAATTGGAACTTTCAATATAGTATGGTAAGGATATAGTTTTCAAACATGGGTTTATGTTCAATTACAGCTTTAAATAAGCAAATCCTTTCCAAACAGGAGCTACATGAAAATGTAAATATTGTTTCGGGTAAACTCCGACTAATCTTTAACAACATAGGTTAGATAGGAGTTGATTCCCAAATATATACTAAGTGTTAAACATAATCTAATACGAACACAATTCAATTGGCTTTTGACAATCATCTACAAGGAAATTCAAAGTACGATTTGTGGTGTTTACATTCTGGCCCTTTTGTAGCATAAGAAAGGTCCGACATCTAACTTGTGAGACCGTGTTCCAAAGGGACGTTTCAACGGAAGAGAGGTTCAAATTCTAAAACTGTCTCGAACAGGGATTCTAGCTAGATCAGTTGTATTTAAAGTTCTATTTGCACAGGAAACAAAACTCATTCTATCTCAAAAGGTGGAGGTAGTGCAGGAGCAAATGTGGACAGGTATTTCAAGAGGGAGGGGGGGGGGGACGGTGTGTGAACATACATACATATGTGTATCTATATTTACACATACATACACACATATATAGTACCCCTAATGATCCTGCACCTCTTCATACAATACTGGAAAATACATTGTTTTGGAGCATTACACCTACCTTTGTTTACCTCCTTGGAAACGGGTCATCATGAGCATAGCTGACATGAAGCTCACCAAAAGCACTTGAAAGTTTGTCTAACCAATAACTTGAAAGTTTCCGCTGGATCGCTAAGCATTTGAAAGATTTTACCACTCGATGGAAGATTCAAGATTGAAGCTTACACAGAAAACTTTCCTGAGAATCGTCAATCCTGGCCAAGCCCAAACAACGTTCAAGTTCTTCTAACACTTGAACGTGCTTTACCACTGGATTGTAGGATTCAATATTGAGGAGTGCACAAGCGACAACTTTCCTGAGAATCATCCTTCCTGGTCAACCCCTAAGCATGTTCAAGTTGTTCTATCACCTCGAACGTATTCTACCACTGCATTGAAGATTCGAGTTTGATAAAATTCACGGAAAACTTTTCCGAGAATCCTATTGAACACCGAGCGTATTGGGACCACCCTTTTTTAAATAACAATATATGGGATTCAAGATTCAAGATTCCCAGAACATATTTTCTCAGATTCTTGAATCTTGAATCTTGAATCCAGACATTAAAAAAAAAAAACACAAAAAAAAACACAAAAAACAAACAATCTGAGCTGTTCTTGCACTCTTGGATGCATTCAAACTCTTCCAGATTGCAGATGCTGATGTCATTGCTTTTATCACATTTGTATGCATGCATATCCTATATACAGCACGCCCCTAATTTTGACAAAATCCAAGAAGCAAAACAAAACATACAACACTGAAAAGTACAGGTCAAACGCGCCAAACCAGGGTCCACGGGGGGGGGGGGTACCATAAATATACAATATGCATGTGCTTTTCCCCTTGGTGTCCCTTCAAAGCCGCCACCGGAACCGGCTCACTCCAAAGGCCCAGGATGGCGCGACAGCCCTGGATGACCAGCTGATGAAGGAGACAGGCGCGGGCGCGGCGAAGGGGGTGGTCAAGGTGTTGAAATGGGGAGAGATCCGCAGGAAACAACCAGCTTGTTTTGGTTGTTGGATGTTTCTTCTTTGAATGTTTGCTTTGTCTCTTCGTTGGCCCTTTGTTTTCCTCTTTTTTTTTTGGCTTGTTTGTTTGTATGGTGCTTTCTTTGTTTTGCTTGTTTGATGTTTTGTTTGCGTTGTGAAAGGCGTTTTTCTGCGTTTCTTGATGTCGTTTGTTGGTTTCAATTGGACGGGGAGCTCTCCAAAAACCAGTTCTACCGGCTGGAGGACAACAACCGAAGACATGCAACTTCGGCCATGAAGTAGATGGAACTCAGTTCAGCTGGGTGGTATGTCGCCCAAATGTTTGGGACTTTGCCCACCTCTTCCTTCTTTTCTTGGAGGTGGTTCCTTCTCGCGGGGGAGGGCAACTTTCGGAATTCTCCGGCCAAAAGGCCAGAAGAATAACCCGGATGTTCGTGACTTTCCCAAAGAGAAGCCAAAAGGAGTTTGAGAATAAACCTGTGTCTTTTCCAAAAACGAACCCAACAGAAAATGAGAACATTGCACTGTTCCAGACCCGCTCTTTACGGGCAACTCTAGCCTTGCCCCCCATTCCGCTTAGGGACCGTTCTGAGGAGATGTGGCCAAAATGTTCAATCAGGTTTCTTAGAGCCACTCAGAGAACACCTCCTCTATCAATCAACCAGGGGTTTATTTAATGTCTATTTTGGTAGTAGATAGAGAGTTTGGACTCTTTATATCCAATCCACTCAGGAAGTGAGGAATCGGGGTCAACCCCCTCCCTCCCCAACCCTCAAACTCCCCTCAGTTCCCGCCCAACCCTCATCCCTCAACCCTCAACCCATCCCCTCAACCCTTAACTTGCAACCCCCCAAGACTCGACTCAATCTTGGGGTTATTTCAATCCCCCCCCCAACCCCGCCACCCCCTTTTTCTCCCCAACCCTCCTACTTCCTCCCCCCCCCAAACCCACCCACCCCAAAAACACGCAAACCTCCCAACCTCAGCAGTGGTGCACCACTCTGCGTGGCTCGCTCGCTCGGGTTTCCCGCACGCCAGGGGAGCCCGAAGTGATGACGCTGCAACCGCCGAAGTCCAAGCTCTGAGTTGCTCCGGCGGATGCCTCGACCCGGGAAAATTCAGGGGCCCCCACGCGTCCCTCGGTAAACATCAGCCTTGGCCTTGGCTGTGAGTGTTTTTCTTGGTGGGGGTGATGCTTTAAGGGGAACTGTAGCCGAAACTGGCGCACCCAGATTGTGATGGAATCTCCCCTTTAAAATAGTGGTTCTTTTATGCCCACAGAAGTGTGGCGTCTACCAACGGGTTTCCTAAGCCCATATATAAGGGGCATAAGGGGCATAAGGGGCTAACAAACTCGAATGTGGTTTTGGGGGTGCTAAACACATCAACTTGAGTCATTGTCATAGTAGAAAACGGCGAGCAATTATTTAGCCCCCTAATATGGTTGGTTTGGGCAGCAATGTCCATTTCGACTGGGCCTGACAGCCATCAGGATTTTGACCATGATACGTATAAGGGTTGGTAAGGCAACCGTAACCTGCAGAGAAAAAAACACACAACACGACACATGTAGTGGTAGCCTGTTGTTTGTTTGGCAGCTTTTTGCATTTTGGTGGGGATGCTCATCACCCCCTTGGTTTGGGTTCTAGACAACCATGCGGAGAAGAATTCCAAGCAAGTCACAATCCAGCCCTTAGGGTTTAGGCTGCTGTAGCCGCGATTGGCAAAATTACTCGTTACTCCTCGTCCTTCTAAATCAAGGTCCCTTGCAGTCAAAAGGACCCTGCTCTTTGGTACGCCGCTATCTCCTTTCCAGCGAATCAATTGGTGGGGATTGCCGCTCCGCTGCTCCGCGTAGTTTGGGTCGGCCGGGCCTTTGCCCGGCCGCTGCCATGGGGTCCGGGCTTCGGACGGACAGCCAAGCCCAAAGGCGACTAGTGCAAGTTGCAGAAGTTGCAAGAGGCTTTGCTTTCATGGGATGTTTTTCCTTTGTTTTTGTTGATGGTTCTTTTAAATTCTTTCGTTTTTTCTGTTTGGGGCGGGTGGTCATTGATTTAGGGTGTTTTCTCTTGCTTGTCTGCGGGGAAGTGGTTTGGTGGTGGCAAAGAGAGAGAGAGGTTCAGCTTTAAGATTCGCAGCTGAAGATTCGGCTTTTGAGTGGTAAATCTTAGAGTCCCAAAAACATTGGACATGGTTACTTGCTTTAGCGGCAGTGAAATCAGAGATGAACACTTCAAGTGCTCAAAACCGAGGGCTTTTGGACAAGTTGGGCTATGCACTTTCCACGTCTCGAAAGACTTTGAGAGCAACACCAAACAAATCTCTGAGACAATTGTGTTAAGGACAGATTGAGGGACACAAACTGTGGGGTTTCCCTTTGTTTTGAGACAGGCCCAGATGGGTGTGTGTTGTTTTGAGGGTGCCCTTTTTCGGGTTTGCTTGTTTCAAAGGGACAACCACCGCTTTAGGGCACATTTTAGGTCACCCGTCCCCATTTTGAGAACCCAAACCTGTGCTTTTGCGGGGTACCGCATGAATCAGCTTCCCTGCATGGTGGTTTTGGTGGTTGCTCCCACTTACCCTTTACAAGGGGTTGAACTCCCACCAATCCAAACCACCAATTTCGGGAATTGACGCCAAAAAGTCGATTCCCCGTTTGGACCCCCAAGAAGTGATTCACACAAGAGCAGTTCCCTCGTGTGATTTTCTTTTTCGTCTCCATCCACCTTTCAATGATCCCTTTTGGTACCCTCCCTCCAACAATCATGCACGCTGACAATCGGGGTTTGGAATACTACTTTCCTTTTGGGGACCCAAACGCGTCCACTGCCGTTCTTGGAAAGGGTCGTCCTTTGTCCAAGACCAACCCCGTGTCCTCCCCGGGGTCCCCGATGTTTTCGCGCAGCCGAAGTGCCTTCCGTCGGCCGCGCAGTGCTTTGCAGCCTCCGTTGGCTGGATTTTCGCGGAGAGCCGCAAAAGGACTAGGTCCCCCAGTGCCCTTTTACCAACCTTTTTGGGTGAGGGTTCCCCTAAAATGGACTACAGCAAAAAGTTGGTACCCTTATTCTAACCTCTCTACTCAAAAAAGCCTACAGCAGGGAGGGGCCCGACTTCACAACAGGAACACCTGGGAGAGCAGCAAAGAAGCTCACTGCGCAGTTTGCAGACGGAGCCCAGTTCCTTAGGGTCCCAACAGTATATGGCTTGTTGTTTGAGCCCCAGAAAACACGAATCCCACCCTGAGTTTCTGGGCTTTAAACTTTTTGGACAGATCCACTTGAATGGAAGTGAGTTGGAGAGGACCCCAGGAAGGGGTGTTGCAGAATGGGTGCAAGCCACTCATTTAGTTTTATTATTTATTTGTTTGTTTATTTATTTGTTTGCTTATTTATTTATCTGTTTGTTTATTTATCTATTTGTTTATTTGTTTATTTATTTATTTATTTATTTATTTGTTTATTTATTTATTTGTTTATTTATCTATTTGTTTATTTATTCATTTCTTTCTTTCTTTCTTTCTTTATTTATTTATTTGTTTGTTTGTTTGTTTGTTTATTTATTTGTTTATTGATCTATTTGTTTATTTGTTTATTTATTTGTTTATTTGTTTATCTATCTATTTGTTTATTTATTTATTTAGTTATTTATTTATTTGTTTATTTATCTATTTGTTTATTTATTCATTTCTTTCTTTATTTCTTTCTTTCTTTCTTTCTTTCTTTCTTTCTTTCTTTCTTTCTTTATTATTTATTTGTTTGTTTGTTTGTTTATTTATTTACTTATTGATTTATTTATTTATTTGTTGCGCGATTTAATTGTTTCATTCATGTAGTCATTTGCTTTCAGAAGTATGGATTTTGGTGAGTAGAACATGACGAGCGTGAAAGCAGTGTTGACCCCAAACCCCAACTTAGATGTCACTCGGGCACATGGAATATTGACGTATATGTCATATGGACATTGCCCAAGACAACCGCACCACCGACGACATCCTCTGCAGGCATCCCCGCAAGACACCCGTGGAACACCCAACATAACGTTTTAAACGGGTTGGCTTCGTGGCTTCTTCTTGAAATACTGAGCAACGGGCTCCATGCTGTGGATGAACGAAATCCTGCACCACTTTGAAGCCATGGTAAGCCATTGTTTGCTGGTATTTACGGGAGAATCATCATTCCAGGGTGTCTTGAGTGGTGCAGGATTTCGTCCATCCACAGTATTTCGAGAAACTTCCTATACTTTGGGGAGTTGCCAATATGTCCGGAGGACTCCGGGGTCCGGGGTTCTCGAACTTCCCCCATGAAAACCAGTCAGATTTGTGCCGGACCCGTGGGTGCAAATCCTTTTGTCTTCTTGTAATTTGGAAAGGTGGGACGATTGGAGGTGGGAAAGAGCGAGAGAAGCGAGTGGAACCATCATGCCACACTCACCTATCTCTCCCTTCCCTAACTCGCTCTTGGTGGAACAAAAGAGTGCCCTTTCAATAGAAGTCCACAACATAAATTTGGGTCCATGCCTTAGCACGGCGACTCAAGGCTTTGGGGCTGGGCTCATAGGCGGCCAAGCACATTTCATTCCCTGGGGAGAGGTTGATCCCAGAGGTGTTTTTTTTTTGGTTGTTTTGGCGGAAAAATAGATGGGTTTCGATTCCTGGTTCACCTGGTGGTGCAAGATCATCTAGCAGGGAAATCCATCTATTTCCCCTAAAAGAACACCTATGGTTGATCCCCTATTCCGTCACCGACAAAAAAGGATTCTCTGCGTTGGTTGTTGCGAGTTTTCTAGGGGTACCTTCCATATCCATTCTTTCCAGGGATCCTTCTTTCTAGAAAACCTCCAATCCCAGGGAAAACGGCTGGATTTTGAAAAGAACGATGGTTGAAAAAGAATGGACAAGGAATCAAGCCCTAGTTTCTGAGAAGGATGGTAGCTCAGCAGGTTCGCGCCCATGCCAGAGCTGAGCCAGATCCCTTTGCTCGAACGCGGGGCAAAGGACCCGCCGGCGACTGAGCTCGAATGAAGCGTGGCTCAACGATTCCAAAGACGACATGAAGCATGAAAGACCACAACAAGAAACACAGACAACCTATATGACTCAAACACAACACCAAAGCCGGAAGATACAATCATTGACAACAGCTACAAGCAAATGAGGAGCCTACGCAAGTGTCCAGCCACAAGCTAGTCAGTCAGGCATTGGGGATGTACGACCCGCGTCCCTGTTAAGGACCCGGCCAATATTTTCAATTTTGCCTATGAGAGTAAAGGAGATCCCATTGTGCGCACTCACCAAATGTCCGATTAATTTTTGGATTAGGTTGACAGCTCACATGGGAAGCTGCAGATCGGTGGGAATGCATGGTTCAGAGACCCCCCTCAAGAGGGGTGCATAGGATTCGCCAGTTGACCCCCTTGCAACTTTCTTTGTCAAGGTTGTCAAGAGGCAAGCCGCGGTTCCAGAGCGGTTCTAAAGCTGCCCACCCGCCCTCTGTGGTCCAAGCGACCCTATGGTGGGATGAGCGCGCCTCGTTCCAACGCTGGAGCCGAAGCGGAAGCGGAGGCGCGAGGTGGGCTTCCCAGTTTCCTTGTTGGGGTGTGTCTGTCCTTGACCTTGTTTTGTCGCTTTAAAGGGGACCCCCCCCAAGCTCATGACTCCGTCGATCCAAGAAAACCCTTTTAATGAGGTGGGGGGGGTGGTTCGACATGCACCGAACTCCAGGTTGGGGTCCGATTCAGATCGGCTTCCTTCCGGTGCCCTTTAGCCCTGCTCGACATTGGAGCAGCTCTCATGCGACCTTCGAGACTTTTGGACTTAGGGTTTCTCCACCAGAAAGCGACTTCCGTCCTTGTTTTAGGAATCGGACCCCCACGGTTCCCTCTGGTTTTCCTTCAGCACCCACAAAAAGAAGGGGTGGCCTCAAACAAAAGGAGCCCCACTTTCTTTCTGCGGGGGTCAGAATAAGTACCAAACCATATTTCGTCAAGCCAAAAGCTGAACCGTTTCTTTCCAGGTTTTTCAGGGGCAAGTGAGGCTAGTGTGTGAAGTGTGTTTGAACAAGCAGTTGGGAAAGGCCGATCCTGATTTTTCGTGGGACACCATTGCAGGCACAAGAACTCCTTGGAACCCAACGCAAGAATCCAGTGAGTTG